GGATAACACCGACTCATCTATTGTTTATCCAGCCGCCGAATTTCTCACCGGACCTGATGTATCGGCTCTGCAGCTTCTCTCTAACAGACTCGAGTCTATGTTTGACTCGCCGGAATCGTTCTACAGCGACGGGAAGCTTGTTCTCTCCGGCGGAAGAGAAGTACCTTTCCACCGTTGCGTTTTATCAGCGAGAAGTCCTTTCTTCAGACGCGCGTTAGCCACCGCCGAGAAAGAGAAGAGTTCCGATTCAACCGCCGTGAAGCTCGAGCTGAAAGAGATTGCGAAGGATTACGAAGTCGGATTCGATTCGGTGGTTGCTGTTTTGGCTTACGTTTATAGCGGAAGAGTGAGACCACCGCCGAAAGGAGTTTCCGATTGTGCAGACGAGAATTGCCGCCACACGGCTTGCCGTCCGGCGGTGGATTTCATGGTGGAGGTTCTCTATTTGGCTTTCGTCTTCGAGATTCCAGAACTAGTCACACTGTATCAGGTATAAAACATGATCGGGAAAGCTACATTCTAAAGCTTGTGATATATGTTCTTATTTGAATTTCGATTTGCATTTTCAGAGGCATTTACTAGATGTTGTTGACAAAGTTGTGATAGAGGACACATTGGTGATACTCAAGCTTGCTAATATCTGTGTTAAATCATGCAAGAAGCTATTTGATAGATGCAGAGAGATTATTGTCAAGTCTGATGTTGATTTAGTGACTCTTGAGAAGTCCTTGCCGGAACACATTGTCAAAGAAATAATCAATATCCGTAAAGAGCTCGGTTTGCAGACGCCTGAAGTAGACAAAAATGTTTCGAAAATACTCAAGGCGCTTGACTCAGACGATCTTGAGCTACTTAATCTGCTTTTGATAGAAGGACACACCAATCTGGATGATGCGTGTGCTCTTCACTTTGCTGTTGCGTATTGCGATGTGAGTACCGCAAGGAAGCTGATAGACCTGGAGCTTGCCGATATTAACCGTAGAAATGCAAGGGGATACACAGTGCTTCATGTTGCTGCGATGCGGAAGGATCCTGATCTGATATTATCTCTATTGAAAAAAGGGGCAAATGCTTCAGAAACATCTTCGGAAGGTAGAACCGCTCTCTTGATCGCGAAACAAGTCACTATGGCGGCTGAGTATAATTATGTTCCGGAGCGATGCGAGCTTGCTTTCAAAGGCCGACTATGCGTAGAGTTGCTAGAGAAAGCAGACAAACGCAATCCATTTCCTGGAGATGTTTCTTCCTCTCTTGCACTGGCTGCTGATGAATTGGAGAGGAGGCTACTCGATCTTGAAGACAGAGGTATCCCTTAATTCTTATTCCTTTATTTTTTTTTACTTTTAGGCTGAAACAAATGATTAGATTCTTCAGCGCCCATTTGAATTGAATTTCGTGTACTCTGGTGGAAAATCGAGTGAACTAATGATGACTATGCTTTGTATCCACTGTTTAGTTGCTCTGGCTCTGCGTATCTTTCCAATGGAAGCACGAGTTGCAATGAGTAACGCCCAAACGAAGGGAAAGTGTGACTTTAGCGTCGAGCCTGACCGTCTCACTGGTGTAAAGAGAACATCACCAGACCTAATGAATTCGTCTTTCAAAATCATAGAAGAGCAACGGAGTAGACTAGAAGAGCTTTCTAAAACCGGTATGGATCTCCCCGGTTTCATCTACTCCTCCTTATCAACAAATAACGTAGATGATCTTAAAACATTGAGTTTTTGTCACTGGAAATAGATAACTTGAAAAAACCAAGTCTGACCTTGTTTCCTTTACCGTGTATCATCAGTGGAAATCGGGAGATTCTTCTTCCCACGCTGTTCGGCATATCTCGATGAGATTATGGACTGTGAGGTCTTGACTGAACTGGCTTGCGGAGAAGATGACACTCCTGAGAAACGAGTACAAAAGAAGCAAAGGTACATGGAAATAATGGAGACAGTGAAGAAGGCCTTTAGTGAGGACAAAAAGTTTGGAAACTCGTCTCTCACGGCTTCGTCTTCTACCACATCGAAACCAACCACCAGAAAGAGGCCAAATGGTAAACTCTCTCATCGGCGTAAGTGAGAGTCTTCACTCTTGGGGAGTAATTTTTGTTGTACC